CTTACAAGAAATTTTCTTCTATGCAGAACGGTCTACTTTTTTGGTGTTTATATATTAAAGTTACTATCCTATGAAATGATATGATCATATAATGCGGAATAATAGTACGGTGGGTAAAAGGATATCGTATAAACTAAAGACATACAAAAGCTTAAACTAATGTTAATTTGCCCCGTAATCGTATAAACCCTTATCGCGGCATGCACTAACACCAAACTGTGTTCAATAAACTTTCTACGAAAATTTTTCTCTCTTTTTTTAAACGACCAAGACCTTTTTTACTTTGGATATCATCCTTTGTCCTCATAACCTTTACATTACATTAAGAAGGGATATTTTAAGTTACATGCTGGTTACCCAAAGGGCTAAGACTTAAAATCGACGGGCAAATAAGCAGAGAATCAGTCATGAAAGTTTGCAATAAGCAAATAAAGAAATGTTCTTTACCTTTTCGTTCCATTAATTTGCTATTTTTTTCAATTTTCTAACTAGTAAGGAAATCCCAAGGACATATCACTTAATAATTATTCATTTTTTTATGATTACAACATATTTCTTTTCATTCAGTTATTAAAAATACCGATTTGAATGTTGCGAGTACACCACTGCAAACTTCCCAAATGTTCAATGTCAAGACATACAGTAACCTGAATTCTTTGTTATCCCTACTTTTCAAGCTAAATTATCCTTGTATTCTAAGGGCAATCATCATAAGCATGCTTCCACGTTCAGAGTATAAACAACAGATTATGATTGGTCCAATTATGATCTCTTGGTATGAATGATTTTAGTGTTTTTACAACGATAAATAAACAATCTGACAAACTACTATAACTGATCAACCTAAACCTACTTTCCATTTCTTATTCATCATGAGATTTGCTGATAGTTTTCTTAATTAACTTTCTAAAGTAATTTATGATTACTGCTTTTCAAATTCTGACCAATATCACTCTTTTCACCCCTGAAAGGACCTTGATAGTTCGTGGCAAATGGCCTCTAGTTGGACACCATTAACGGCTCAAGGGCGAGGGCCAGCCTAGGCACAACAAATATGCACCGGGACCAAACGGTCTGTACAGCTGGGAACTCCTTGATGTGCCACGAAATTTATCTCTGTTTTCATTACTTACATAAAATAGTTTCGTGTTTAATACCACACCGGACCTTTTGGAGCCCACCCCTGGGAGGACCTAGAAAGTCAAGGCTTCTAGTTAGACAGCTTGAATGGCTCCAGGGCCCGGGCCAGCTTGTGGACACCAGATAAGCACTGGGTCCAAGCGGTCTGTGCGGCTGGGAACCTTTTAATTATGAGCCACGAAACGAACAGAAACAAACAAAAGTACATCGTCCAACGAATGTTACGCAGTCTGGAAAACAACATAGGAAAAGTGCTTTAGTAAAAGAGTGCTCTTTGCTCATATAAGCAGTTCTTGACTTTATGCGCAGATTAGATCACGTTTTTGTCAGATCAATCATGCAAGCAACATCTGACGTCACTATCGTTTAGCCAGCAAAGGGGATGAATGTTTCTGGATTTAATGAAAGTCGTGATCAGATAAGCCGTTATGAGTACGCGCTATATCTAGAATAAGAGGGGATTTCCATTGTCGCGTAATTTTACGTGCGTAAATAAAATAAAGGCAATGTATGAAAAACCGAGTGTAAACTTGAGCGAAGATCAACTCTTACGTTTACGCGGGACATTCCGTACATTGCCTCTATCTTATTTACGCGCGTAACATGTACGCACGTAAAAATTACGCGACGGTAGAAATCCACCTTTACTGGCCCTATACAGAAAGTAAGAATGAATGCATACTTTCTGGAACCACTCGCTTGCAAAACGAAAGGTAACAGTTATTTGACCACTTATTTGCGGATGCGACTATGTGCCACTGGAAGATTAGCCAGATCTTCTTTCAACAAAAATGTCTTAAGGCCGATGGTAAACCGCTTAAGATAGTTTTCCCACTCAATTTTTTTCCACGTCAAAATTAAAAACCTGAAAAGGGAACAAGCGTATGATAGTGAAAACAAGAATCGCCGAAAGGCGATTTTTAACTGGGCTGCCAAGGAGCTATTTTTTCTGAGGGGAGGGGGCGGCTATACCCCGGGGGCACTTTAGGAATTTCTGGGTGGGGATGTGCCGCTGGGACCCTGGAACCCTTGACCTATACCAGAGCTAGTTCAGCTGAATTTTGCTACCCTATACTAGAGTAAACTTTCAAAATCCCCCTATCCTAGAGTAGCTGTTTCCCCAGTCTAGATAAAATCTTCAACCAACTGATCAGTTTCCTGAAAAATGATACCCTATTCTAGACCCAAACGCTCTGATTTATATAACCTATCCTAGAGTAAACTGCTTGAAAACCATACCCTTCACAGCGGCACATACCCATATAGCCCATATATGGCAGTACCCCCCCGGGGGCTATACACACTCAGGCTACCATAAAACCTTGTCGGCAACCATTGCATGCGACAGAACCTCATCTGAGACTGAAACATAAACTCATTCAAAACATTGTACCCTTTTGAAAGACTTTCGTAACCCCCAAAAAAGAGTACCATTTTTAAGTGGGGGCTGTGTAATAACTTTTAAATTCCACCACTATGAATAAAAATAGACAAGTTAGCCATTAATTCTAAGCAGGAAACAATTTGCATTATTTCCACATACCCCTCCCCTAATCCCTCTGTGCCCCAAAATATAGCGTGACAGTATAACGTGACGTAACTGGAAATTCCAAAAATTGTTGTCGTTCTACGAGTATAATGAGCTGATTTACACTAGACAGAAATATTGTATTATATGAAAACCAGAAGTATACTAAAACAGACAGTTAACTGCCCATTGATCCCGCCTGATCCAGGGGCCTCACTGACTGCACGGAGACTTTACTGCGCTTTTCACAAACATGCGAACTCTAAAGTTCAAAAGCCACCTTCACAATTGTGTTTATCGCTGCCGTCAATCATAATTACGATCAAAAGCAACGAATCTTGAAACAGAGAAACACAGGGCGCGATCCATTCAACCAAAATTTCCGGAAATTTCGGTCCAAAACACAATGGATCGGTTCGGTCGAACCGGGAAAGTTTCGAAAAAACAGGTCCACCTTTTGAGGTGGTCCTCTTTTCCCGGTCGGACCGGTCTGAATTTTGGTTGAATGGATCGCGCCCACACAAAACGGATCGAAATCCACAAATCACAAACCATGACCTTTTGAACCCGTGAAGTAGAGTTTTGTTTCCTAAGAGGTCCGTTAAGATGATTGACAGCAGCGAAAAACGCAATCGTCGGTTGGCTTCTGAACTTCGGAATTCGCATGTTTGTGAAAAGTGCGATCCTAATTTGCGGTCCACAGTCTACAAGAAAACGCACTATTTTTTCCACAAGAAAAAAAAATATTCAGTTTTAAGATTTTCCTCATGGTATTTTTCTCTAACTTAAAGGAATAAAATCCTTTGCATTTTGAGACCTAAAAAAGTTTAAAGACTTGTCGCTCGCATGTTGCGTTCACCAGCACGCACTTCAAACAATGTAAATAGATGAAACGATCGATAACATATTTTTTACCTGATACCGATGCGAGTTAAAAATTCGCTCCAGTTCTGTTTGTCCCACCCAAGACGAACTTTTCTTCATGGAAGATAACTATGCCACTTTATAACTCGTCCGAAGTTTTTGTGCCAGCTAAACAATATGGAAACACTATTCACAGTGACTCCTTGGATATTAAAAAGACTGAACGTGACGCACTATTATGCCTTTGTTTACTTCTGATCACATCTTCAAGCGAAGTCTCTCTTTTCAAGCGATTCATCTCAATGCACAATAATTGACTCTTATATTAGTTAAAACCCTATGGTTCATTTATATTAATGCTGTTTTTGCCCCTCACATTGACTGTGTTCGTTCGTATTCAAAACACCTTTACGAAAATAAAGGTCGTATAAGTCATGTGTGTTATGTTTCGAGATAAATGGATTATACGCTTTTTTAAGTTTCCATTTTGCGGTGACTTCAGTTAACATCTTCATAAAATGGTAAAAGAAATATCAAGAAACATCACGAGAGCTAAAAAACTTTCAAAGGCATGTTTCTGAAACTCGCTAATGCTGACATCAATACAGCGTGCTTGCTGAATGGGCGAAAACACAGAATTGTGATCACAAGGTCATGTACACATTTAATGATAAAAGCTTAGCAAGATACAAATACAAACAAAAGCAAACCCCCTGAAACCTCGACGTGGGCTACACTTGTATGCTCTACTCAGTCACCAAACCTTGTCAGTAATAGCTCCTATTTTCCTGAAGTCGCTCTCTGTGAAGCATTGTGCGCGAAATTCTCAGAGTCCCTATTTTTCTCCGTGTCTTCTTTATCCTCAGTATCCGAAATTTAGACCTCCAAAGTGGCGTGTGTTGCATTAAATAGAAGGAAATATTTAAAGGAAAAGCCAGTCTTCTAGCATGGCAAAGTTGTCACGTCCCTCGCTCATAGACGTGCGTAGTGCCATTCATCGGCAACTGAGTTGTTCGCTTAACTGACTACGAAGGCTTACAATCAAGTCTTCAGCCATACTGTCGTCAACTGGTGAAATACCTTGCTCATAAATTGTGCTTCTTAATAGCTCATGTACTACATCGATCGATAATTCTCTCTTTGAGTTCACGAAGCGGCCACGGCGTTCCAAACCTGACGCTCACAGTCATCTTTTAGTGTGAACCTACCGTGAACAGCGTGTCGGTTTGAATGCAACGCGAGCATTTCTCTGAGTTTCCCAGCGCCAACATCATCTAACTGACTTAAACTCGAACAATAAAAAAATTATAAAGTGACTCCCATGATCGAATCGCTTCGAACAACGCAAATAGCCTTCTTCAGGTTCGCAACGCTTTGTGGGTTTTTCTGGGTGAGCGCAGACGAGGTACAAAAAGTATCCGTGCAAGGGTTCGTGCAAGAGAAACTCATATGAAACCATTTGTGAGAACATCGTTTCTCGGTACCAGACCCTCGTGTCTTCCCTCCCCCGGGAGACCACTTTTTGACACCGACGACCGAAAGCCCATTTTATGACTGGGCGCACAGGCAGCCCAGTAATAAAATCATGGGTGACAAATTGCTCCTGAATTCTTGCGCAAAATTTCAGCGTTGAATCCGCATGTGAAATTACGGCAAAATTGCTAAGATAATGTTACGTTTGTATCAGATGGCGTCAAGGTTTAAAGATAGCACGAATGAAGATGTCAGAGCATTTAAAGACAATAAGGAGTACCTAAACACACCAAAGAGCACACATTTTATCAACAAGGATTCTAGCGGGTATTTTAGTAAAAAATTCTGAAAATTTTGAATATTTAATGTATGTTTTAAACTTTTCAGTACTTGGAGTTTTCGATACGAACAAGTGAAAACTCACGATAAGCGTTATTGTCACCCATGACATAAAAAGGTGATACACCTGCATTTTGTCAAAATTCTTTTAATTTCACCTGTCACCATTTCAGTTACACACACTAATATTATTATTTGACACAACAACAACAAAAAACTGTTTTGGCCGACTAACCTCTCGGTCCTGTGGACTCATGTCCTGTATCCGAATGACTTGTAGTTGGACGGAAAAGAAACCTTTGCGATTTATGTATTGTTCATGATTGTTATGTGGTGCTTTGATTGGTATGTGGGTGCCATCAATAGCCCCCAAAACACCCGGAAAACCCTTTTTCTCTTCAAAGGCCTCCATCACCGCTTGGGCTTTTAGACCAGTTGGAAACTTGATAAACTCATCCATTAAGTTCCTCACTATTGCTTTGCAAACTCGTCTGTAGACTCTGTACGCAGTTGCCCTGCAAACATCAAATCGATCGGCAACAGAGCGTAAACATTCTGGATTCCCAAGAATCCACAGCGTAATAAGGATTTGCTTTCTTAACTCGACCGGTGGTCTTCCTCTATCGCCGGTGTATTGAGGTAAGTCGCCGTGGACCGAAAGCAAATGTTCGAGAACTGTAACTGTATGCCGTGACATGCGGAAGTGACTTCGGAAGTCCTCCGGTATGTAACTAGGTACGGTTATTTCGTAAAAATTCTTTGTGCGAACGTGTTCTTTTCGGACGAGCTGTCCGGCCGCCAAAAGGAATAAAACTGCTTCGTCATCGGCTCCTAAAAGAACCTGTTGTTGTTCAAGGTCATCGGCAAGGACTTCTTCGAACAGTTCAAACATCAAACCAAAACTTTCCGCCATTTTGAAAACTCCCCCCAAAACACGCGAACTGCATGCTGGGGTCGTTTCGGATTTTTCGTGTCTTTAAAAGTAACGAATCCGCATGATCTCGGATTAAGAATCCAATCTTGGATTTTTTTAAAGAAACGCACCCTAAACTCAAAGTGATCTCAAGATATCACGAAGTAGTCCGGTCTCATTTCGTGAAATAGTTTAAACAAGCCGAAAAGTCACGAACTTGCACGCCCAATCTTGTCCCGAAACTAGTGCATCATTTCATAACTATTTTTCATATGCCAAACTACCTTGAGTCGCAGTAGCGCAATCGGCTAATCCCTCAACTTAGAGTCTCCTCTTATCTGACGGGTCACACAGGTGAGTCGGTTCAAACCCCGGGAAAGCCAAAATAATAATTCTTTCTTCCTCGAAAAAGTTAAAGAATAAATAAAAGAAATCGAAGTGATCTCGAGATGTCTTGAACTAATTCGGCTCTCACTTCGTCAAATAGCCGAATAGAACCGAAAACATACAGACTTTGCTTGCTCAATCTTGTCAAAAAATGGCAACTTTGATACATTCCTGAGCATCGCGAATCCTTTACTTCGCGCTCCGCCGAAGTAATGAAAAGTGAACCATTATACTTTTGATTTGCAGGTGACGTCACAGCGGCTATCTTGGTGGTCAAGAACAAAAGCATTTCTCTTCTCTGGGAAGTAACCTCTACTTTCATGTAAATTCTTCGAGAAGACAATTCTTCTTTACTGACCCCCCACATGGTCGCCTTGTCACGTGGTTGCAAACTAAGAATACCCGCAAGGTAACGTGGTATCAGTGGAGAAGGGGCTATCATCAGTCCCCCTCGGGGGATTGCTCAGATCACTAACTGTTACCTATTGCTGTTATTTGCCATCGTATAAATTATTTCATCCAAAATAAAGTCTGTTGCGCGGTCGAATTATAGCAGGAATTAGTAGCAAAAGCGAAGTACTTTCTCAGCTAAGAGCTAAAGAAGACTCATATACAGTGCTTAAAGGATGGAACATCACCATATGGCCCTAGGGCACGAAACCCCCTCTTTTACAAAAATGGGCCTTGGGTTCATATAACAGTTGAGTACGCCACCAGCACTGCTAACTTTTGTCCCCTCTCACTTTCAAATGCGTTCTTCGTTCTTCTTATTACAGGTAAGTGCATCAATCTTAGCCATCGGTAGCGGTCCGGCAAACTGAGAAAGTTTTACCTCGAATTATGGATTGCTTTACCACCCTACGTAATTCAGTTTACTTTAACAAACAGAAGAAGAACAACAGTCAACAAGCTGTAAACTAATCGAACAACAGATAGAGGTGCTATGTACAAGTTGCTGTGTTGGGGGAAAGTATATATACACTGTATGTATAAAATATATATATATATATATATATATATATATATATATATATATATATATATATATATATATATATATATATATATATATATATATATATATATATACTTGGATTCTGGGTAGAACGTATTCCGTAGAGCGCTCAATTCATTTAATTGAAGAGCATTGACTATTAATAATCACAGGAGTTCAGGCTTCAGGAGTAATCATTGATCGTTTATTGCGACAGTGCTGTTTCGTATGGTCCGAAATTGTAGGACCACACTCATCAGGCAACTTCAACGATTGACCGTTAAAATTAAAAGCTGGCAGTAAATATAGGGATGCGTTAAGAGATAGTATCTAGGTAACAGATGGATTGTGTCTTAGTTACGTTACTCTAGAGTTCTGAAGTACATATCTGTTTCTGTGGGGGCATGAACTCGCTAGTTCGTTTCGCCTGTTTAGGCTACAAAGCTCTTTTTTACAAATGATGATAACCTTTTCATAAAGACAAAGATTACATTTTTTGCTAATGTTGCTATAGGCTTTACATTTCTTTAAAACTTTCCATTTTATCTGGAAAGGTTTGTTAGAGTCTTGTAAAGTCCAAATATATTTTGATAGTTCCGTTTCATTTCTTCTGTTCGAGCGTCGAAAGGAGGACTGATGGTTTCTGTAACGTTCCTTAAAGTTTGTTGCCAGTCCGACGTAAGTTTCAGTTGTCGTCGCTGTAGTTACAGTGGCTTGGTAGATTACATTTGATTGGAGGCATTTTCCTTCGAGTGGACAATCTGGTTTCTTTCTGCAATTGCAGGTGTCAGGTTGTTGCGTTGGTGAGTTGAAATTTGAAAGAACGTACTTGTTGTGTGACGAGATGACAGATTTCATGTTAGGCATGCATGAGTAGCTTAGTTTTAGCGTGTGTCTGTTGAAAATCTTGTGGAGTGGGTGGTTTTTTGGAAAGCATTTGTCGACGATGTGCAGAAATTTTCTTCCAAGGTTAGTTCTGACGTTTGAGTTGAAAGGAGGGTTGTACCATGTGATGTTTCTTGTTCGTTTTCTTTTGTTTTTCGGAGCTTTCTCTTGTGGGGGGTTGTATGCTAACTTGTGGTCGTATCCGCTTTCTGTTAGAGCTTTCTGGTAAGGGGCAATAGATTCGTCAAATACTTCTTTGCTGGATGAGATGCTAGTCAACCTTTTGTTAATGTTGAGTGGGATATTCTTTAGTAGTGCTGGGGGGTGGTTGCTCTGTTGGTAGGACAGTTTATTATTAGGCTTCATGAATGGCTTGTAGCACCCGTTTGTGAGGTTGAAGGTCACATCAACAAAAAGGTCGTCAACTTTCTTGATGTGACCTTCAACCTCACAAACGGGTGCTACAAGCCATTCATGAAGCCTAATAATAAACTGTCCTATGTCCTATGTCCAATGTCAAGTGATTTCTGCACCGTTCTTTGAAGTTTAATAGTCGGTTGCAGGCAATTACTTTCAAGAGGGTATTCCGGTTTCTTGACGGTAATTGCCTCAGACAAAACAGTCAGACTTGATTTACCAAGCGACTGTAACGACTGGAACAACAACAGAATCATACATTGGACTCAGTAGCAACTAACTTCAAAGAACAGTACAGAAATCACTTGAGATCCTTCCGACACGCGAACCGAAGAAACGAGACGGAACTGTCCACACAGGTGTGGACCCTCAAAGATGCCTACAGATCCTTTCACGTGCAGGGGAAAGTACTCAGGAATTGTAAACCATATGACAAGGCTAGCAAAAATTGAAATCTGTGCCTCCAAGAAAAAAATTTTTATCATTTGTAAAAAACACTTATATATGTACTCTGAACAAAAGAAACCAATTAGCAAGTTCATGCCCCTACAGGAATAGATTCACTCGCAGAAATTTTAGAATAAGGTAACGCAACGCAACGAAACCACACGGATCCCGAAAAACCCATTGGGGAACCTTTATACCTCCGTGTCGACTTTGTGCCTATTTACAAACGTTTTAATCACTCTCCGTCTACCTCTTTACCAGCCGCTCGCAATCGCATATTCAGAGACTTTTTAAAATTGGCTTCCTAGTACAGAACGGACTGTAACTTCTCAAAGTTCCTTCCTAACCGTGATAATTCTCCATTGAAAACTGCAAATCACAGCAACATTCATTTCGTCAAAACATATTCAACAACAACAAGAACAAATCTAGGAAGAAAGAGCATTTTTCAATCGAATATCTTAAAATCAAAACCAGATTTCGGTCGAAACTAATCGCTTTACGGCCACTCCACTTACAGCCGCTTGAACTCTTCATTCAATTCATTCTTCATTCTTCGATCATGGTAAATCAAATGAACCAATGAAAGTCTTTCAAAAGGATTAATTTATCGTCTCCTTTGATGTGCTATAATCCGATCGATCCGATTACTGAGCCTGTTCCGGGCCATTCCAGCGGAACGCGCCCTTAGTTGCATCAAAAGGAACTGTGGCGCGGTGTCGGTGGGGAGTCAAACACAAAATTTGATTTTCAGTATTAACTGAGCTATCAAAATAAATTTATCACCGACAAAAAAAAAAGATTCAAAAGCTGACATTTCGAACTTAGCTAGCCTGCGAATACGGCCGTCTGTCCTAGGGACGTCTTTTTTTAATCTTTTAGGTCCCAAGAGTGACCAACATAAATTTTCTCCCAACAACATCAGCAGATCATCGCGTAAAGGTTATGAGAATTACTAAATTGATTACCAAAGGGAGAATACTTTGATCTTCAACCAAATTCTCTCCACTATTCTTAAAAGAAATGTATGAACATCAGTGTAGAGAATCTGTATGTAGATCTTGGGGCTTAAAGAACGGCAGCGTTTCAATTGGTTGGTGTTGACTTCGCCGGACCTTTGAAGTATCGGAAGGGAAAGAACAACGAAGCCAAGGCGTACATCGTGCTCTACGCATGTAGCCTAACCCAAGGGATCTACCTAGAGTTGTTACTAAACATGGAGACCAAAGAATTCATGAGCAGTTTAAAGAGGTTTATAGCACGTCGAGGGCGCCCAGAGACTTTCTATTCTGACAATGGGAGAACTTTCGTCGGTGCAGCTAGGCTACTGAAGACCATCATGAGCGACGAGACGTTTCACGACTACCTGGCGCACAACGGGATCAAGTGGAAGTTCAATTTAAGTAGAGCTCCCTGGTGGGGTGGTCAATTCGAGCGTTTAATAGGACTGGTTAAAAGAGCACTTCACAAGACCATCGGTTCAGGAATGCTGACGTGGGCAGAACTACAGGATGTTATACTTGACGTAGAAGTGACGCTGAACAACCGTCCGCTGAGCTATGTTGAGGACGACCTTCAATTTCCAGTATTAACACCAAATTTATTGCTTTTCGGACAACCCAATCCACTGCCTGGGCTGGAGTGTCATCATTTAGAAACCCCAGACTTGCGAAAACGTGCCAGGTACCTCAAACGCTGCAAGGATGTGATGTGGAAGCGTTGGACCGATGAGTACTTAAAGGGACTTTGTGAGCGACATTTCCTTAAACACTCAGGTGCACCTACTACCATAGCTGTCGGTGACGTGATGCTGATCAAAGAAGACGAGAGGAACCGAGGAAAATGGAAGATGGGGATTGTTTACGAACTCATAGTTGGCCGTGATGGAGTTGTAAGGGCGGCAAAGCTGCGAGCCGGGAACTCGTACCTCGAGCGAGCTTTACAACAGCTGTACCCCCTCGAGTTGGCATGTGATCGGGATACAGGGAGATCCAAGAGCCAGCTGAACCCTGACGCCGAAGCATTTACCCCAAAACAGACAAGGCGTGCTGCGCAAGAAGCCAGAGACCGTATTGCAGCTGTGGCTGCCGATGCTGAAGAAGACTTTGAACGATCACCTTGTTAATCTGAGAACTTGCTACTGGGGCTGTTATCAATTAAGTGAACGTTTTTAGTCAGAACTTTTATACAATCATTTTAGTTTCGTTGTTTTTTAGAGAATAACTTCATTTATCGACGAACATTTGCTCTCTTCGAGACAAATGGGGGGAGAATGTTAGAAATATTACGAGTGTGACAATTTTAGTACTGGACAATTTTATCATATCGATCATTTAGCTATTTTGGAGATAATCAGGTACCAAAGACGTCAATCAAAATGATTGGTAACTTTAGATTTTTCAACAGTATATGTATTCAATATATAGATTCTTCGCTTCACTTGAGACTAGAGCAGCTTTCGGGACGGTTATGGGTGTGACTTTTTTACTGTGACTTTTAATTAAACAATCTGAAGTGAGTGAATAGTGTTGTGGTACTACATTTCCAACAATTGAATTTGGGGTTACTTAGACCCCGTTTTACGGTATGTGAAGGAGAGGGTCACAGTCCCAGTCCAGTCAACTTCAGCGAGCGTTTATATGAGGATAAAGTTTTCACGCATGCTCTGCATGATTTTCTCGCCTTGACAGAGTCGACCCAGGTGGGCAAGCCAACGTGTCAATACAGCTATTTCGAGAAAGGTTAACAGAAAAATGTGCTCGCGACAATCCCGAACGGTAATTTGGGATATGATCAATACGCTGTTCTTGACCCTGTAGCTGTCGAATCTTCCATTGGTGCTTCCCTTTAGCATTAGCAAACATACGTCTACAGCCTCTCGTGCCATTCTTCCAAATTTTTTTGAAGAACAGTGAACTCAAAACCACCCACAATATACCTTTCGGGATCGTCGCGTGTACTTTTTCTGATAACCTTTCTCGAAATTGCTGTATGGAGAAAAGTTGGGTCATCCTTTTAGCCAAGCCAAGTTTCTATTTCTCATGTTAATGGTACACCACGTTTTGTAATGAAATGTATAAAAAGTTGGCTCGCCCAAGGTAGCTCAGTTAAGCGGGTGATCCTTTTTTACCGAGACCTGTTTTCCCCTTAATAACGAGGTCTTAACATGTTGGATACAACCATCGTATTTCTGGGAAGTTTTGACGCCACGATCCAGACGATCTCAGAAAAAGGGGAACTCAACTGGAATTAGCAGGAAAATGTTACGGTTGGCGTTTGCTGTTTTTTCCATTAGAGCTCCGTTTTTAGGCCTTCTTTCTCAGTAAAATATATTTATTTGAGCTACATACCTTTTCTTTTAAAAATTAATCCATGTTTCATTCAGCACCCTTAAACTCCCATGGTTTACCCTATAGTTGCAGGAAGAATATAGTATATAAGCCTCCGGCTTCTATTTAGGCTTCCTTGTCATTACCACTTTAAAAATTTAATTTTGTAAATAATTTCGTTAGAATAGTGTATATTATCTTTAATGTATTATAAATTTCTTGTATATTGTTGTATTTATGTGTGGTTAATGACAAAAATGAATGAATGAATGAATCTTTAAGTTTAAGGAGTGCACGAAAGCTTACAGTCGATTTCTGAACAATGTTTAACCTACCTATTCAAGCTGATCAGTTTGTCACCTCTGGGCTCAGTGTTGTCAGTCGACGAGCGTAAACTTCTGGAACTTGGTAGATCTGTCTTAGAATTTCAACTTGTTCAAATCCAGGTGGATGTATTCTTCTACAATATTTATTATTGATGCAGGAGAATAGTTCAAGCTCTTGATCTCTTGATCGCGATACTCTGATCAATACGAGGTATTTTAAACCCTTGAAAGTTGTCCTTTGATGAACCGCCGCAATTCATCGATTTAAGGGAGTTTCGTTATTCAAATGCAAGGTACGTACTAAACCCGGTACTCATACATAACATACCGTCTGTTGATGAACCGCCCCAGTTCATCGAAGGAGTGATAATCTTTCGTAGAAAGTGGGTAATACGTCAGCAAAACTGGGGAATTTCGTTATTCAAAAAGAAGGCTCTTGACCCAGTACGTACTAGCCTCCCACGCAGGCGTTTTTAGGGGAGCTCGTATTTCTTCCCTCCCTTGTGGGGAGGTAAGAAATACGAGCTCCCCTAAAAACGCCTGCGTGGGAGGCTAAGTACGTACTCACATAAATTATCAACGGGGTGGTTCGTGTTACAACGATGGAATTTTTTAATCATCTTTAGAACAAGTGCTTTTGTAGACTGGCCCCAGTCGTTGACAAGTTTAGCTATCCATTATCTCTCGCCAGTGAATCACGTGTTAATCCAACCAATTGCGTTATCCACTTGATACAGAGTATTCAGTGGATAGCTAATAATAGCTCTATCTACCTTTTGAACAACCGGGGCCGATGAAGAGTCTAGATTTCTTCTTACTGCTGATAGAAGGAGAGAACGTAGGGACATATTTGAAATCTAATATCACAATGACGATGATGTCTGGAATTTGTTTTTTACTACTGGCTTATCGGTCAGCGATGCAATGCACATTTCTGAAACGTTAGCTAAGTCGATAAACGGAAAAAGTTTCCTAAGTGCGTGTTTCGCAGCTTGTCTCACTTCTATTATCTTCAGCAGAAAAGCAGTTTTATAAATTAAAGTAATAATTTTCCAAAATTCAAGGCCTAGTGGTGACCCGGATTTATTCATAACCGATGTTTTCTGTGGTTACCCTGGTTCAGTACACGATGCTCGCGTGTTTCGTAATTCTCCGATCTGCCGAGAAGTTGAAGTGAACCCAGACAATTATTTTCCTGGCAACTCCCACATTTTGGGAGACGCAGCATATCCCTTGAAGAGGTGGCTGTTGACCCCATTTCGAGACAACGGACGTTTGACTGCTCAACAAAGACGTTACAATACTGCCCACAGTTCCACCAGAATGGTGGTTGAGGGGTCCATAGGGCTTTTTAAGAACAGGTTTAGGAAGCTAAAAACAATGATGGATGTTGACAAAATTGAGGACATACCGGAAATTATTGTATCCTCTTGCATCTTACACAACATTTGCATTATTGAAGATGACATCGATGATTTTTTAGATGACTCTAATGATGATGATGACAATGATGACAATGATGATGACATCTTTCCACCAGGTGTAGGAGCAGTTGATAAGAGAAACATGATAATGAGACTGATCCCATAAACCTAGCATTTATAAGTGGTTTATGTATTGATACCTTTTGTACTGTGGTGTTTTCATGAACACTTCTTTCATAGGTGGTGTATGTCATTCATAAAGTTTATACTGTATAATAGTCTTTTTGCTATAAATATCAATATTTTATTTGTTTTTAAAAGTATATAAGAAAATAGTAGAGCCATGTACATGGATCACTTTATACTACCTGAAACATTTATGGTGTTGCTTGAAATGTAAACTTTCAACACAAATGTAACAGCCTAATACTCTGACAGTCCAGGTTGCTTGTATCACGCACAGAAAGGAGGAAGTGCGTGACACAAGTGATCTGAAGCATCTGAGAATCAGGCTAAAAAAAGTAAAGGATATAAATAATATCAAAACCAGTTTAGTTAGGCCCTCTCACCTAATGTTGCTGTTGTAGTTCCTTGTATGTATGTGATAAAAAAAACATACAACTTGCAATAATACTGTTAACATGTATGATATAATAAACTTTTAGATAACTCAATACTGACAACAAACTCAGGTTTACTGTATCTATGTTCATGTTTGTGGTCAAATAATCCCATGTTCTGCAACACAATAAAAAATTATGGAATCAAGGTTACTCTTTGTTCAATGATTTTTCAAAAACATTCAAAAATCGGCCCATGAGTGCCATGCGTTCATTGTGCATATTTTCAAACTTTTTAATCTTTTCCTTTTCTTCCTCTTTCCTGTCTTGTGTAAATTCCTTAAAGAGCCCAACGAGGTCTTCTCTTTTCTTCCGCTCTGGTAACTTCTTTTTCTTTGCTTTTGTAACCACAGGCTCCTCTGTGTCACTACCTGTGGAACTCAATGTGGAACTGGAATTTTTAACACTCTTGACTGCATCTTTGCTCCGTTTACCATCAATGTTGCTGCACAATGTTTTTGGAGCGATGGCATCATCTTTCGAAAATATTTCGTGAAGTTCGTCATAGAAGTTGCATTTCTTTCGGTCATTTCCGCTGACTTTGTTGTGATCAACACAAGCAACATAACTTCTCTTCAGATTTTTCAATTTCGTCTCACACGCCTTGGCATTAAAGAACACTCCGTTCTTCTTTAATTCTTCGCTGATTTCTTCCCACAGGGACTTGTTCTTTTTGTTTATATCTTTAAATCGTTCTCTGCGTTCGACATAGCAGGAAATTAACAACAGCACATCAGCTCTAGACCAGCGTACAAGAGCTCTCGATTCGACTTCGGTGCCTTCACTCGACTGACTGAACGTGGCTGCAGCTGTTTCCAAAGAAGAAAAACTTGGACCAGGCTGAGGTGATACTGATCTGACTGTTTCATGGCTGAACTGTGATGCCTGCGGTGGTGGAAACATGAACTGAGGAAGATAAGGTTGGATGCCCGGTTGAACGTGGCTTTTGTTCCACTGATATTCTGGATATTCACCTGCAGATAAACTGTGCGTCCAATATTGTCCTGTAGATAGAAATAAAAGATGCCAAGACGCATCAAACATCCGGAAAATTTATAAAAATACGTACAGGACGGAAAATTTCGGTGAAACTACACAAAAAACTCACCTTGTTTATTCGCCATGGCCGGCAGCAGCTAATATTTACAACAAAATGGCGGGAATGTGGCGGATTTTAAGAAGACGACCGCTTGCCAAACGTACTGCTTTTTGTATCCGTGCAATAAAGAAACGCACGGATCATGAATCCTAAAAATCCGGATTTAGATTTGATCTAATGAATCCACTCGGAGTGTGGATTCTATAGATTCAAAATCCATTTTCAGATTTTATTAAAGAAACGCAAAATCCGTTTTTGGATTCAAGAATCCGGATTTGGATTTTTTTAAAGAAACGCACCCTTAGTCTTTAATTACTCGAGGAATAAATAGAGGATATTTCGTGGCCGCGCAGACACGAGAAATTTCTCTTCGAGTGCTGAAAAACATTTCACAAGTGAGCCCTTCTTTCGAACTGTTTTATGATGAATTTAAAGTTACAAAATGCTGCACAAAGACATTTTGTCTTTGTTGAGTGTTACGTAGTAAAATTGCTTTCATGCGTTGCGTGACTTTCTCGAACGTTCTCTATGTTTTTGGACTATTCATGAATAATTAATTAGGGCATGTTTACATTTCAGCATGAGTCAGCAGATTTGCATCAGTTACTGAAATCATAAAATCGTGTGCTTAAGGGCCTGTTTACACGGAGGTGGGGGACCCCAGGTAGGTGAGGTAACCCGCTTGGGTGAGGTAAAAAAATAACCCTCCTTTACATGCAATCTTACAACCCCGCCTTCCCGGGGTGCACTTTCTCAAGATTATTGAATGGTCGCTAAGCACGTAAACAAGAAAAATGCTGGCAAACCACGAGTTTTGGCGATTAATGCACTTCTTCACTCACTTGTTGCTCTTGCTCCAACACGTCAGTGCAATAGCTTTCTATTGTTAGCTTTAATCATAATGCAAAGACACCGCGAAAGTGAATTTTGCGCGAATTTGATGTATCACGAATCCGACCCCGGCCAGGCGGGTTACCCCACCTTGAAACGTTTACATGACAAATTGTGACCCCGGCTGAGAGGGTAACCCGGTCTGGTAGACCGGGCTACCCGCCTTGGCGGGTCACCCCACCTATCATGTAAACGTGATCAAATGAAAATGAGAGATTATATGGACAGGCGGGTTACCCCACCTAAGCGGGTTACCTCACCTACTTGGGGTCCCCCACCTCCATGTAAACAGGCCCTAAGATTCTACGACGGCAGACTTGGTCGAGGGGGCTTTGGGTGAGGTCGCTGTCGCAATGGCGCGAAAAATAGCGTTAAGAAAGCTCGCGCGACGACGGGTTGTTGTAGCGCCTTTTTCTGTTGAAGT